TTGAAGTTAAAGTTTTGAATTTCACGTGAGCAAGTTACTATCGTGAAAGATTATAAAAGATTATCAAATACTATATAAAGTTATAAGTGTAATGATAGCGATAGTATCAAAAATCATTTAATTTTAGCCAATCAGGATCATTGATGATCAGCCAATAAAAACAAATTTCCATCTTGCTCCTTTTACCATGGCACGCTTATTTTGACAAAACCGACGCAGAAGATTGGAATATTTTGCCATTTCATATAGTTTGGATCCAGGATAACGAAAGGAATCCAGTAAACCTGGCTTACGATAAAGCTTCATACACACTTGCGAAAAGTCTCCGGGCGATTGTTAATAAATGCGTAGACGATAAAAAAGTTACGAAAGCAAAGAGCCTTTTGGCTGTTATTAAGGCAATTTACTTTTAATATGTTTTTTTGAATGCTATGTCATAATAAGAGTTTCTATATGAAACAGACTATCGGCTGTTATACGGTAATTTTGTTTCATCTATAACAAGGAGGCACGGCTTTTAGCTATTCCTCTGATGGGCTTCTAGCTCGTTGTGGTGTGGTCTCTGTAGTGGAGACTCTAAATACCTTTTAGGTATCCCATAGCTAGGAAGTGTGGCTTTTAGCTGTTCTTCCGATGTGCTTCTTGATGTAGCATTTGTTGCTATTGATGTATAAAAAGTATTTTGTTCATTAGATTAAACTAATAAATGTTTTGTCAGGATCAACGGAAAAAAGGCAACGATATCGATAACCTTTGGCTTACCATTGAAAACAAGATGTGTGATCGTCGATTAAATGAAGAAAGAAAGAAATTGAAAATTCTTCAGGTAATTAATATAATTGTTATATGCAACAGATTAAGGGGATTGCTCAGCTACAAGTCGAAGCCAATCATACGCATTTGCATTGAATGATAGTGCTCTTGCAAACGTTTACAAAAGGGTTTTTTAAGAGAAGTAAGTTGAGAATATTTATTTACGTCTTGTTATAAATAATTCATTAATAAAACTTATACATATTTTTAAGTTTAAGAACTTTAGATCAGTGGGTAGTGATCTTGAAGTATATGGGCTGACTCAAACTACAACAAATTAATGGTGTTTCAATATGCAAGGAAATCTTCGTAATTTTTTATCGCAAAATTTTAAAGATCTTAATTGAAAATGTAAATCAAAGCAACTCATTGATTTATCAGGAATTTTAGCAAAAGTTCATGCAGGATATGTTCATAGTGGCAATATATTATTAAATCAATATTTTAATATCCTATATTGCAGATCTCGGGTTATCTAGAGAACATTGTGAATCAAGTTTAGATGATAACGTTTACGGAGTTTTACCTTATGTCGCTCCGGAAGGGTTAATAAACGACCATATACAATGGCAGCAGGCATTTATAGTTTTGGTATGATTATGGCTGAAATGTCTCCTCTTCATTACGATGTTGACCATGACGAAAAGTTAGCCATTAGAATATGTAATGGTTTACGCCCAGAATTTGTTAAAGACACTCCTGAATGCTATGTTCGATCAGCAAAGAAATGCATGGATGCTAATCCCTCTAACAGACCAACTGCATCTGAAATTTTTAATGAATTATGTTGTTGGTATAAGATAATAGAGCACAATACAACAAATGAAAATGAATTAACACTATTAAAGGAATTTCAATCTGTGGATGTAATTGTTCCAACATTATTAACATTACCAAACTATCCTAAGGAATTTCCATCTGCGGATGTAATTATTCCAACGTTATTAACATTACCAAACTATTCTAAGGATAAATGTACAAGTAAATTGCTTAGCTTCAAAAGCCTTTCTAAATCAATCGATTCATCATTTATTCCACGTACAAATTTTTGGTAAATATATATTCAATTCATTTAAATAAGTGTTAATTTAATTTTTAAGTTGTAGATTCTACTAGTCAATTTTTCGATCTTGATTCATGAAGTCATATTACGTATGTAAATTTATGAAATATTTAATTTTTATCAGACACGAAATAATGGAAAAATTATATATACATTAAACCGTCCGGTTTAGCGGGAAAATTTACCCACTCAAATAATTGGAAAATAACACCCTTTAAAATGTTTTCATAGGAACGTTGAACCGAATTGGCTAGAATAACGAATCGCATGAAAATCTAGCACTCATATCATGACGTATGCTATATGACCGAAACCAAGGACTCAAACTAAAACCACCCGAATTTATTTCGCTTATGTTGTAGAATATTCGATTAGAACTAAATTTCCGGGATCGCTTTGTAAATTCAGTTTTAGAACGCTAAGATATAGACAAGATAAAATTACTATGTAATGTGGGATTTATTCATAATAAAGCTTAAGTTATTGACATAATTAAGGCGTCATTATTTAACTATATAAATCAAAAATATTGATTTGTAAATTTTAAATTCTAAGTTCTTATATTGAAGTTAATTATCAAAATGCTTTCATTTATATAAAACTAAGCATTTAAGAGTTATACAAATTCTATTTCAATAACACAAATTGGCTTGAAACATTTCTAATCCCATTTCGATAATATAACTGATTTGAGACATTCTACTAATACTGTAATAGGGGATTTCAAAGTTAAAATGTGGAAATCTAATTTTAATTGAAATTGGTTTGATTCATCTTTTAGCCAATTTCTCTGTCATTATTTGTGATATTTATTAAAATGAAATTGTATATAATTATATATAATGTATATAATTATATCTCTAATAATAATAATTAATCTCTAATATGTAATAGTTATACACTGGGTGTTATTTGTTTATTTATCTTCGCATTACATTCATCCATAGCAAAAGGTGGCAGTGGACAACCAATCAGTTTTTAATAGTTTGTAGCAATTATTTGCGTTTGAAAATAGTTCATTTCATTAAATGTCGCCATTGACTAATCACCCTAATCTTAACCAATCAGATGTATTAATTCCGAATTTCAATAATAATAAAATTGGGAATAATGTGAGTGTTAATGAATGAATTGACTATATTATTTGAAGCGTACGTACATACAGTACGTTAGAAAATTAACGACTATTGTGTTACTATAAAGCTTATAAGTATTTTGAAGCTTAAATTTTAATCAATTCAATCAACGCACTATTTTGTGATGTTCTTTTATACTGATTATTATCGTCTTCACATACTCTATCAAAAAAATGTCTTCGAACAACGCTTCGCGTCCAATTTCTCGTTAGAGATTTATCGAGGTTCTTAACGATAAGATTTTTTTTTCTTTAGAAGCAAAACTATCTTCGCAACGTCAGTTGATTTCTCAGCTGACTCGTCTCGCGTTCCCTCCTGAACTTTAGTGTTCCTTACTCCAGGATTTCGGTACTACGTATTTATTATTTTTTATAATGAATTTCATGCTTTCTGGCAGGGGCACCGAAAATTCAATTGCAATTAAATTATTACACAATTACATTCAGTTAAATTGTTACAGATAAACAATTGCAAAACAATTAATTGAAATAATTGCAATTAATTGCAATTTTTACATATTAATAATTATAATGTGACAAAAATTGCAATTAATTGACCAATTGTAGCTGCGTCACGCAATTAATTGATCTCTCAATCAATTATTTGGTAGCCCTGCTTTCTGGTGTCTATTTTCCTAACTAATTTGATCTATTTTTGCTATTTTAACCGTTTATCAGAGCATGTATGTTTCTTTTACACAATTGTTATTTCTGAATTTTGTACTAAGTTTATTTTTTTTTTGGAAGTGAATATGTAATCATCACTTAGATTTATAATATTTTTGTATGGTTTACAATTATTATTATTTAAAATTAATTCACGTGTTATAATAAAACATTCCTTTATTGGCTTGTCGTCATATTGTCAGTACAGTAAATTATTATTTTAAGAATTAAAACTAGGAAAATGCTAAAACTTCACAAGGAATTTTTTCATGAGAATTAGATGATGATATTATAATCAGGAGATGGGATAAAATTGCAGGTTGTTAACAAAATATAATTTTAAATTTTTAAAATTGACAAAACATTAAGACTACATGGTTCTACCACAAAATCCCGACATCCAAAATCTCGACAGGTCATAATACTGACATCGCGCGATGTGACAATTAAAATTTAAAGTCTGACAATGATTGTTAATGTGATTACTAATCTTTAAATATTAATTGTCATGTCTGGATTATGGTTTCGAGATTTGGGATGTCGGGACTTTGTGGTAGAACCAGACTACATATCTATACCGATATATGGCTTGTGTAATTGTAAATATTAAATTGGAATGTTAAAACCATTGCTGTATTGGCATTTATTTTTTGACATTAAATAGTGAAATGTTAAATGTTAACATTAAATAAGAATTAAATGTATACCGATACCGGTATCTGCATTCAATTCGAAGTCGGATTATCAAGAATAACAGATAAGGACGATTATTTTAATAATTGTCTAATTGAATTTAGCGAACACCATGCATATTGTAGCATATTGTACGACCTCCTGAGGCCACATGAAAATTGTGTTATATATAGTCAATGATCGAGAAATCTGTTTATTATATTTTTAGTAATGTTTTTAAATCGAATTTCATCGTTTCTAATTCGAAAAAATTTTACCAAAAACATTTATAATAAAAGTATAAACATATCAATTTTAAAGAATTATCATACTTGGCACGAAAAAGATGCGAGTATCTTGCAAAATAATGTTGATACAAAAAGTGAAGAATTTAAAGTAATATATCATGACAAAAAATATTAAAAATAAAATTAGTACCTTTATATCCATTTCTTTTTTTTTTCAATTATTAAAACTTTATTGATTCGGATAGCATAATGCTATTAAAATGAATGAATTGGTAAAAGACTTGGAAACGCTTATTAATAAAATTTCTTTAGGTAATGTTTATAAGATAAATATTTAAATTTATGTTATTGTTCATTTAAATAAAGAATTCTTTTGAAATTACTTTAGGTGGTGGCGAGGAAGCTAGAAAGCGTCATTTAGGCCGTAAAAAATTGTTACCTCGTGACAGGTATTTGTTTTTTACAAGATACATTGCCTACGAAAAATTAATGTTTAGATATCAATAAACATTCTGTATGAAAAAATTTATTGATTTATCATAAAGAATTTTTTGAAGGCAGCGTATATTTTATTAAACATCACCATTGGTATATTATCTTATATAATTAATCTATCACTTTATTAGGATAAATCGATTAATAGATAATGGGTAAGTCAATTCTCTTATTTGACAATTATATATTTAGAATATTTATTGTGACGATTCTTTCATCAAAAATTTATATAATTTAGGTCACCTTTCTTAGAATTTTCACAACTTGCTGGATACAAATTGTATTCCGAAGATGTACCTGCAGGTGGAATAATTACTGGAATTGGACGTGTCTCAGGGTTGGCAAAATCTCTTTCTGATGAAAAATTTTTTAAAAAAAGTTTTTTATATAAGATTTAATAAATTTTAATATAGAGTGGAGTGTGTTATTGTTGCAAATGATTCAACTGTTAAGGGTGGTACTTACTATCCTATCACAGGTAAAAATAATTCATTTTCCGTTTTAAACCTTTGTATTTTAATTTAATAATGATCCTTACGATTATGTAGTAAAAAAACATTTGAGGGCACAAGAAATTGCGCTCGAAAACCGACTTCCGTGTATATATTTGGGTAATAAATCTAAATAAAATTAAATTTCATCACAACAAAAAAAAAATTTGGGTTGTTTACAAGTTTTTTTTTTAATCCAGTTGATTCTGGAGGTGCAAACCTTCCTCAACAAGCAGAAGTTTTTCCAGATCGTGACCATTTTGGACGTATATTTTATAATCAGGTTAGTAATTTAATATTTTATTCAAATTTAAAGAACTTATAAATTCATGAGTATCAGAACAGGCAACAATGTCTGCAGCAGGAATTCCACAAATCGCGGTTGTGATGGGATCTTGCACAGCAGGTGGAGCTTACGTTCCTTCTATGGCTGATGAAAGTATTATTGTTGGCAAACAAGGAACAATTTTTTTAGCTGGTCCACCCTTGGTTAAAGCAGCAACTGGTGAGAATATCACTGCAGAAGAACTTGGGGGAGCTGACTTACATTGTGAGCATGAATTGATTTATTATTAAAATATTTTAAAAGATTTCAAATATTTAATATTATGCATATTTAATGTTATATGATCATTTAATATTTAGGTCGAACTTCCGGCGTAACTGATTATTACGCTACAAATGATGAGCACGCACTTCAGATTGCAAGAAATGTTGTTAGCTCACTTAATTGGACAAAAAAACCAAACGTAAACAATAATTTCTTTTATAAAATAAGTAAAATATGAGTATTTTTAGATATTTTTAGACATTTAGTGATATATATTTCACAAAATTTAGATTACGATGAGAACGCCAGAAGAACCTTTATATCCTACATCAGAGATTGGTGGTATTGTAGGCGATAACCTGCGTAAATCATTTGATGTCAAGAATGTAATTTCACGAATTGTTGACGGGAGTCGATTTAATGAATTTAAAGAATTATATGGAACAACATTAGTTACAGGTAAGACATCTCTGTATAAATGTTGTAATTGGAACGGGATTTAAGTGTGGATTTGGAATTTCTTAGTTAAATTAGTGTTTCTTGGTAGAGTTTGTTTTATATAAACCCTATACCCTAATCTTAAAATTCTAAGAATCCTAAAATTCTAAGAAATTCCCAAATCCACTTAAATCCCGTTCCCATTTACAACATAATATTTATTGTTAATAATGAAAGAAATACTATATAATGGTTTACATCATAGGATTTGCACATATTCATGGATATCCAGTTGGAATCGTTGCAAATAATGGAATTCTTTTCTCAGAATCTGCACTAAAGGGAGCACATTTTATTGAACTTTGTGCACAACGTGGGATACCACTCATTTTTTTGCAGAATATTACAGGTTTCATGGTAGGATCATCGGCAGAAGCTGGTGGTATTGCAAAGAATGGTGCAAAGATGGTTACTGCAGTATCATGTGCAAAAGTACCAAAATTATCAATAATTATTGGTGGCAGTTTCGGAGCTGGTAATTATGGTATGTGTGGAAGGGCATACAGTCCACGATTTTTATGGATGTGGCCGGTAAGTTATTTATTTCTATTCTTAATTGGATTAATTTAACGTTTAATTAATATTAAAATTTAATAATGACAGAACGCTCGTATATCAGTCATGGGTGGTGAACAAGCAGCAAGTGTTTTGGCACAAATTAAACGAGAATCAAAAGTTAAAAAAGGCGAGGAAGTAAGTGGTTATTAATGGATGTTAATTAATGAATGTTAATTCGTGAAATAAAGAATAATTGTTTTCTTTATATTTTTAATTAATGTATTATTCAGTGGTCAGCGCAAGAAGAAGAAGAATTTAAAAATCCAATTCGTGCTAGGTATGAACATGAAGGGCATCCATACTTTTCATCATCACATCTTTGGGATGATGGAGTTATTAATCCAGCGGATACACGTAAGGTTCTTGGATTAGCACTTAGTGCTGCTCTAAATGCACCAATTGAAAAAACACAATTTGGAGTATTTAGAATGTAAGAATTGGAATGATTCAACTTTTATCATAGACATGTTAATAGAAAATTTTTTATAAATTTATAAATCTTGTTTAAAAGTTATATATCGATATTACTGTATAACTATAATATTATTTCATTAATGTCGATTAAATAAATAATTATTGGTGTTTAAAATTAGTATAGTGTTAAAATGATAGGTTTTCATTCGACTGAACGTTCTTTTATTATCATTATTGTACTGTACATTCTTATTTTGTTTAATAATTGACGGGTAAACGTCTTTAGTGTACCAAAAATAAAAATTAAAAAGTTGCTACAATATTTTATCCGAAGAGGACGTTGTTTTATAAGGGACGTTATTTAAATTAGATTCTTAATAAGTTTATTAAAATGTGGAATTTTTGCTGAAAACGATTATAATACTATAATATGTCTTAAATTATACACAAGAAACGGAATTTAGGACGTTTTTTGGTTCAAAAATTTTCATAAGGTAGAAAATTTAATAGAAATCGTCAATAAAAACATCAAAAAACTATTTAATATGAAAAAGTCATACGTTCTTTATTATATGATTAAGGCTTATTATTTTAGAAGGAAAAAAAAAAAAAAACTTTATAAGACGTCGCACCCCGAAGGGATTGACAAATGCCTTAATCGGTTGATGGAGGGATATAATCCCAAATTCCGTCCTTATCGAGGGGATTGCCAACTATCTCTCCTTTCTTATCAACACAACAGTATGAGGTAATTGTAAACTTATATACCCTGTATTCACAATAAATTAAAAAATTATGGGATTGAAATTTTGTAACATTTTTTGATTGGGTTGATACTTTTAGCGTAATTTTTCATGTGATCTTAATTACAATGCATCACATGGTATGTATGTGTAGATATTTACTATAAAGTTAAATTTATTTATTTAAATTTTATGATGACTAAACAAATTTTATTCGACATAATAGCATTCTCCAAAACAACTGTCATTAGATAATGGAGTATCGATTGATGAAAGGCCACATTTTTGTAGGCATTTTCCTTCTTTAGTTTCACAAAGACTTTGCAGTTTAGGAGGAGGCTTCGGAATCGGTTCAAGTTTCAAGCATTTGACGAAGCAAATGTATGAAGATAATGGAGTTTCTACTCCTATTGGTATTGGAAGACCACATAGGTTTAAGCATTGTCCTTCTTTAGTTGCTTTACAAAAATTTTCCTCTTGGCCCTCGCCGTCTTCACCATAATTTTCACCATAATTTTCTCCGTCTTCACCATAATTTTCACCATAATTTTCTCCGTCTTCACCATAATTTTCACCATAATTTTCACCATAATTTTCTCCGTCTTTACCATATTCTTCTCCATATTCTTCTCCATACTGTTCTCCATAATTTTCTCCAATTGTAACATTACCGTCTGTACCATAATCTACTCCGTCTTTACCATATTCTTCATAATCTACTCCGTCTTTACCATATTCTTCATAATCTTCTCCGTCTTTACCATATTCTTCATAATCTTCTCCGTCTTTACCATATTCTTCATAATCTTCTCCGTCTTTACCATATTCTTCTCCGTATTCATCTTGAGGTAAAGAAGGTAAAGAATAAACGAAAACCGTGAAAATTACAAGAAGTAAGAGTAAAATATAACAAAACTTCATATTGGTCGATGATAGTATGTTATTTGCTCAAATTTGAATGGTTTGCCAAGCTCACTATCTTTATATAGCTTTATGGCGAATGTATTTTTGCTCAACATATCGGCGGACTTTCGGAATTGGGATTATGTATAATTTAAGGGATAATTAACAATAACGATGCAAAAGTTTTGGGATCGTTATTGTTAAATTACTCCTTAAATTATTTTTATATACTTATGTAAACCAGAGACCTCGGATTTTTGTAGCATGCTAATTTTTAGCAAAATAGCTAGCAACAATTGTCTTGCGCTAAGATGCGAAATTTTCTACTTTTGCTCTAAGCATATGATTTTACCTTTGTTCTTGAACTGATTTACGTAAACGAGTAATTATATGCATATTTTAGATGATGACCGAAGAACTCACCGAAATGATAAATGAAGAGCTCGCAGATGATTACATTAAAATTTATACTTATAAATATAAATTTATAATAAGCTATTTTGCCAAATTTGCCAGCTAAATTTGCCAGCTATTTTTGCTATCAACGTCCGGGGTCTCTGATGTAAACCCAATTCCACGAATCTGCCGATATAATTAATTACTTTATTTAGTTTTCGCGAAAACATTTATTTTTTCATTAGATTAATAAAATTTTATGCGTTATTTCGAATACGCCCATGGACGACACCAGGGCGGCCCTCCCGAAGTTCGGGTTGATGATCAATATCATTGCCGTAGCATATAATTCTGGCTAAATTATATTATATGTTACATAATGTAGGCCATATCTGCAGCTTATTTACACAGAACAGCCATTAAAAATCGGTTATTAATTATATGCTGTAGCAATGACAATGACCATCAATCCGAACTTCGGAGGGGCCGCCCTGGTGTTGTCTACGCATATGTGCATTATTCGAATACACCAATGTGCGTTATTCCTGGATAAAGTGCCAATTTTTTAAGTCCTGATTATTACTATTTTATGAGATGAAAGTAATCACATTCATTAACGTAACTCATATAATTTTACAATTAAACAATCATGCTGGTTAATTTTTAATCTATTAATTAATGATCCTTTTATTATTGTTCTCTCTTTTTTTATGTAGAAACAAAAATTAAATTCGCCTAATTCAAATGAGTACTTCATTGTGACAATTATGATATGATATATTGATATTGATATTGATGATCGGGTGCTTGTTTGTTTTCATTTTCATCAGGAATCTAGATGCCAGACTCGCCACTGTGAAAACTTAAATATTTACTTC